AAAATTTTTTATTAAAGAAATGAATTTTTTTTACTAACTCGTTTTTCAATAAGAAGCGGCTGTGTCATAAATAATGCAATTGCTCGAACGATTACGATTTATGAAGAATAAGATAATTGCTAGAAAGTTTACGATTTTTATGTAAATTATATTTTAAAACCATTATGTACTCCTCAATGTAATGTTAACAATAATAATATACATATTAAATATATTGACATTTTTATATATCAGATAATCTAACCTAAGATTTTCGTCGCATACTGTGGTCAATTGAAATTGTACTACTTGATATCAAGAGTGGGGACAGTAGACCAAACCGAGTTTCCCCTTGCCCTTGTAACGGCTTGACTGTCATCTTCCTAGCTGCCAACAGTAAAGTACTTGCATTCTTTAGAATAAAATGGAATGGCTAAATGTGTTAGAAATTAATGATATTATACATAAATTAAAAGCAACGTATATTGTAAAGGAACATGCAAAAAGTGAAAATGAATTGATGTCTCATTTATGGAGTAATGAAAATATAATGTAAGTAGCAAACTTTTAAATTAGAAAACAATTAATATTTCTAAAGCTAATTCAAATTGTTTAAAAAAATATAAATTTTGATTATTTTCTATCACTTATTGTTATTTTGCTCACATAATTTTTGCGTTTTATTATTTAAACTTTTATACAATTAAATATTCAGGACATTGGTGTATGGATGGTTGGAGAGTCGTTATGAGAACAAAGAATCCAAATCTATTGCCAAAGCACAAAAATTTAAGGCAATGGGAAATAAAGAATTTCAAGCAAAAAATTTTACTGAAAGTATACAATTCTACACAAAATGTTTACAACATGCTCCAGCAAACAGTAATGAACTGCCAATTGCAATTGCAAATAGATCTGCTTCTTTATTTTATTTAAATAGATATGATGTAAGTAAATTATTATTGATATTTCTGTTAAATACATATATTTAATATATTCTGTTGCTATATTAAAGTTTATTTCTGTATGCATTTCATATGTATATGATGACTATCATTTGATAATGAGAAGGACTGCATAAAAGATATTGAATTAGCAATTAAGTTAAATTATCCTAAAGAATTACATTATAAATTATATTTACGTGCAGTGCAATGTTATTTGAAATTAGGCAAACAGCATTTAGCTGAAAAAATGCTTTCTAAAATACATGAAATAATTCATGATCCTGATTATATTGCACCTTCTATGAGAGGTATATAGTACTTTATTGAAATTACAGTTTTATGTATTTATAAATATTACATAATGAAATATTTTATCAATTTTCAGGTAGCATTGAAAAAAAAATAAGTGAAGTATCATTAACTAAACCATGTACACAAAATGTTGCACAAAGTGTTACAGATTTATTGAAATTAAAATCTCAAATTGGATTTAAAGAAAATATTAATTTTCCACATGCATCAATAACTATAAATAAAAAATGCAATAAAGAATTAGGGAGATATGTAGTAGCAAACGAATTTATTAAAAAAGGTGATATTCTTTTTTTAGAAAAACCTGCAGCTTTTGTGTTACTAAATCATGATTCATTAAATGAATTGTGCCAAAATTGTAACTGTTCAAACAGAGACATTCCTATTTCGTAAGTAATATGTATATGTATTTTGCTGTTAAATATTTTTGCATAGAACCAAAATATTTACACCTATATATTGCTTTAGATGTCCAACATGCTTAAATACTTTTTACTGCAACGAAAAATGTTTAACTGAAGCATGGCCTTCTTACCACTGCTGGGAATGTCCAGGAAGTCAAATGAAACTTTGGGAAGGAATTGGAATGGGGCATTTAGCTTTAAAAGTTTTATTGACTTGTGCTACTACAACAGACATAACTAAATTTAATGAAATACAAAATTTAATAACTAATTTTGATAAGCTACCCATGGATGATTTAACAACATATGGAATTGTATGTATACTGCAAAAGAAATATACATGGAAAAATAAAAACAATTTTATTTCATTTATAAAGTGATAACCTTTGCAGACAGCTATTATGCTTACTATTTACTTATTGGAATATACTAATTTCTTTAAAATAAATAATCTTAAAGAATGTTTAGTAAACAAATTTTTGGATAATTCCTTCAACTCGAGTTTTAATATTTTAACTGACAATGATAAACAACTTTATGTAAGTTCTTTACTTTTACGATATATTCTTCAACTTATTGGTAATGGACATGCAATTTCAACATCAAGTACACTCATCAAGTACATGAAAGAAGATTGTCAAAATATTGTAGCTACAGGAATTTATCCTTCCGCAAGTATGACGAACCACTCTTGCGACCCCAATGCAACCCAACTGTAATTCTAAAATTTGTATAATATATTTATATGCATAGATTTCAATATGAAGTATGTTATTATTATTAAATTTCAGCTTTGTGGATCAATATCTTATTGTTAAAGCTTCTAGAGATATTGCAAAACATGAAGAAATTTTCAATTGTTATGGTACAGTAAAATTGATTTAAAAATATATTTTATTTAGTTAATCAACAAACTTATTCTTATTGTAACATTATTATTAGGTCCACATTATAGATATATGAAAACAAACGAGAGACAAACAATTTTAAAAAGTCAATATTGCTTTATATGTAAGTGTAAGCCTTGCACTCTACCAAGGTTACGATATTTTTTGGTAAATATAAATACAATTACTGTCTTCTTAAAAGTATTTAAAACAATAATAGTTCAAAATTATTTTGAAACATAATCATATTCACGATAGAATTATAATTACAGGAAAGTTTTGGTGCTATAAAATGTCTAAAATGTAATGGTGCATTACATAGTATTAACGATTCTACCTATTGTTTAGATTGTAATGACAAATCCCAAATTTATCCTTTAAATAAAGTAGTACAGGCCATTAAACTTTATAATGCAGCACAAGATTGTGTTAATTCAGGAAGAACAGAAGAAGCATTAGATGAATTAAAAAAATGTCTAGGATTTTATGTGACAAATTTTAATTTTTAGGACAATGGGTAGATTGTATAATATGCTTGGAAAATACACTTCCAGCAATTACAAAAAGATTTGGATCCTCTAGTAGAGACCTCCTTTACCAATTGAATGATCTCATAGATGTAAGCTTCATATATTTAGAAAAGGAACCAAATACCACCACAGACACATACAAGTACATATCTTTGCAATTCAAGAATAATTATAAATATATTTTCACATTATAATATTCATTTATTAGTGTTTTTTTATTACAGAAATAGACTAAAAAGAACTGAAAAATATTTAAAACAAATAGAAGAAATGGTAAATTTACATTTTGGATCATGGAGCAGAGCATATAAAGATGTAAAAATAAAACAAGAAAAATTGGTCAATTTTGAATAAATAGAAATGTTTTATGAAAACGTGTTTATTTATTACGAAGAATTACCACAAATAGACCTATTACCCAATGCATTTTTTTAAAAAGTTGATTATAAATATCAATTAAATATAATAGAGATGACGAGGATAGCAATAGCGAATAAAGACAAAGAAATATATAGCGGTACACAAAGAAAACACTAGAGAAATGAGTTAGACAAGGCCAGCACTAGAGTAATAGCAATAGAGTAGACAAGGATAGATATAGGGATAGACAAGGACAGAAAATTTTCAAAAATGAAACTAACGCCATCTCGTGTTTGGCTGCGCGAACTAACGGCTCGTTACTAGGAACACAGAATGTGAACAGAGGTATTAGACAAAGAACGCACTATTGTGCGAGAAGGATAGAGAGAAAATGCTTCCTATTGGCCGGTCTGCTACTAAGCTCCTTCTTTTAAGCCCTAAGTCAAGTCAACCGATGAAAAATCATTAATAACTCATTATTTACGATAAATTTATGAACTTTTAGTATAGAAGAATACAGTATGAACCTCTAGCAACTTTCTCATATCCGTTTGAAAGCACTAGGTCCCTTCAGTAATTAGTCATTAATAATTGTTGTGACAGTCCCTTACGGGTTTTCATTAATATCAGTGTTTAGTATTGACAGAAATATGAGAAGATTAGAATCCAAACTATCAATCAGAGCCGTATAATGTATTCATCGCGCCTGCCCAGGCTCTGACGTCCTGAAAATTCTTATAATGTTCTTCGATATCAACCTATATTCTGCTTCAATTTTTATTATCCTATTGTTTACTTTATTTTGTATCAATTCCACGTTCTTAAAATTCGACTAGCTAATTGATCTGCATTGGTCACGTAAGTTTACAATACGTTAGGCACAAATAGAAATTTTTAGTTTGTTCTATAATATTTGAAGTAACGTTAATCATAAGTTGTCATCCATTTATTATTGTACGGACGCTAAAACGTAATGCCATATGTAATCCTGATTACGGTTACACCAAACCGTGCTGTCACTTGACGTTTTAATTTAGAAGCGCGCTATATTGATTCCACCGATCTTAAATCTTACAAATTGTTAACATATGTTGCACGTTATTTATAGCACAACAATAGCAAGGCGATTAATACATAAAATTTTCATAAAACAACATGAAAATGTAAAATTTTTCCACAAATAAAAATATACACTCAAATTAATGTTAATAAAACCCAATGTTCAGTGCTTTATATTTAACGAAATAAGTTTATATTTTCATAAATATGTATGTTGGCACATTTCATTTTTCAATATTTGGGTTTCAACATATGAAGATTACGCTTCAATGTAGGATAAATTTATTCTTTGAATAATTAGAACATTTAGACAGTGAATCGATACATCGGCAATTATTATGCACAAATTTGCAACAAGAAATACCCATACATTTTTAATAAGTGCCAGAAGTAATCATCCCTTTGACAGTTAAAATTCACTGCATAGTGAATATAATCATTTAACTGTATATTATTATATATCTTAAATCATTTTTTTAACAAGACTACTATCGAAAAATTTCATTTTTTTTGTTTACAATATGTCATGAAGATCATGGTATAGTAAACAACATTACGCACATTGTTATCAGACATATAAACATAATACGAAAGATCAGTTCTTGGGCGTCTTACGCTTAGGCACATAAGTGAGTACCCTCACTGTGCTTGCAAACATCACAATACGCTCACAGTACATTCCGATATTTTTTTAAGCCAAATCGGAAAAGGCTAACAGCTACACTTACAATCGCGTATATAAAAAAGTAATGGCTAAGCAAACGTGAATAACTCAGGAAATTTACTATAGTTATAACTTTCATACATATGTAACGAACCTTTCTGATTGCGGCACTTCTGATGAGAGGAAACTGAAACATATAATATTTACGTATAACGGAATAAGGATGCTTATACTATTATTATACTATGTACATATAGACATTTTTTATCAGCACATTACAATGATAAGCGACTATGTTTACTAGATTGTACAATATTAAACATTTGCTTATTAATATGGACAATATAAATATTGTTCGACTAAGAGAAACAATTGTTGAATTATAGCAACAAAGGATCGTTGATTTCTACATTTGTAATATTTTGATTGAACATTTGTTTGAATAAAGGTTCAAGAAATTTAAACCTTATGTTAAACTAGTATGCTTATTTGTGGGTATAATAAAAATTATTCACATCTTCTAATTACACTTAATTGTTGAAATATGTGTAAATACGAAGATAGCCAAACGTGTGGCTGAATCTTTCAAATACAGATCACAAATATTGTACAAGAAAGACTCAATGCGTAACTATACAGTACATACAATTGTGTATATTCATTATCGTGTGATAACACGGACACGCATCAAAGTTATGTTGTCAATTGCACCTATGAAGTGTAACGTTGCAGATAGCAATGTACGATATAATACGATAAAGTAACGTATCTTTAAAAATATATCAGTTTGACATACATCGTAAAAAAAAAAAGATAAATACATAGAAAAGTATATATATTTATCGTTTTACAGTATATTTTTCTATGACGTGAAACTTTCACGTTAACAGATGTTCAATAAAATAGTATTTCACAATTACTCTTTTAAGTGCACAAGTTACAATGAAATATCATTTGTAATCTTATTGCATGAAGTTTGGCGATCATGCAACTTTTATGCAACAATCTTATATCACTTTATTGCAATTATACGAAATACATATTACTTCAGAATAATGCAAATACAGTGTTTATGTCAATTATATGAAATACTATTTTATTTAACTGTAATTTTAAATTGCATTTCATCATGGATCAATATTTTGTAAAAAATAGTATGATATTTTAGTAATGACAAAACAAAAGTCTTTTTCATTTCGATGGTATGATTAATGCTCTACGTATGTCAGGTACAAATGTTATACTTGTAACTTGTTCTCTAGTTAACACTTCTCTCTTCTTCTTCAAATTATGTCTTGATAGATCCGATGTCCATTTATGTATCCTAGTATCATCATAGGGAATACAACTTGCCCATGAGTGTACAATAACGTCAAACTTATAAGGATAACCGTTTATCTTACATACTTTCAACAGAAGCATAAGATAAGGATACGAAATATGTGTAAAATGAAATAAAGTTCAAGCACAGTGACGTATTTCATGCAAATATGTCAATGTAGATTTCTGTACTTCGCAATATCGTATATACATTAAAAGTGATACGTTCAATCATGTTCATTAAATCGGACACGATTGTTATCGCGACTTTAAAATCAGACTACAGCGTATAATTAGAAATAATTTAATGCCCTAAATAAGAATTCGATACTTACGTAAAATATATCAAGATATGATTAATAGCTAACAGCTTATACATGTAAATGACTAAACACAGTTAGTTAAAAAGGAATATATCTGTGGTACGTATATCGGAACCTATCTTAATACCCTTAACAATTTACTCAATAAATGCTATCGCTCAAACACTAACGAATGATTGAGCAATGTTGTATAAAATATTGTAAAAAAAAAAAAGAGAAGGAAAATACAATAAATTCTAATTAGTAAGTCTGTTTTCAAAATCGCGAAAGGTCTTCATTTCACAGATTATTATAATATTAGAAAATGAAAAATGAAATTCATAAACGCCACTGTTTACACAAATCGAACGAAAAGAAACGAAAATTTACTTAAGAGTACTGAACGCGTATATAGGTAGTCAAGTATGTAAGAGTGACATTTATTCAGGATTGTACGTTCGCTAAACGGGTTGGAGTGGTCGGTTGTAAATCCATTGTGCGACATACCCAACCAGCGATATCCACGTTTTCGGATTCAGCCTTCTTTATCCACTCGTGGTTCTAATGATTAAGATAATTCAAAACCAAAAAAAAAAGAAAATTTAAGAACTATTTAATTTAAATTACATAACAAATTACATTTAGATTACATAACAAAACAAAATGCATACCATTAACGTCTTTAGATCTGCCCTCTCAGCAGGATTTTTCTTCAAGCAACGATCGACAAAATCTGTGAAAGCATCGCTAAAAATACCAGCAGGTAATTTCGGGGGTGGTTCATTCACAATATAATCCAACAGTTCAAATATAGCCATTGGTCTTGGGCTACCTGTAGCTGTATAAATATAATATAACATATGCGTAAATATTTCAAAATAGATTAATTAAATGAAGCATTTCATACAACATATATTTAACGAATTGAAATGTGAAAAAAGGGAAACTAACTATGTCCAGGGGATTGCGTTGTTGGAGTAGAAGCATTATTAGTAGCAGCACTCTCTGCAGGTGGTTGACCTGGTGGAGTGCTAAATATCGCGGCTAAAGTTTTCTCATCTGGAGGTGGAATTGGGTACATTCCAATTGCCATTTCTACAAGTGACAGACCTAAGGACCAGATGTCACTCTGTACTGAATAGTGAGTGCCTTGAAGTCTCTCTGGCTGAAAATGAATAATATAATGATAATATATCTTATTGGTCCTTGTAGACATTTAAAATAAATTTTAAAAATAATGATAATAATAAGTTATAATTATTTATTATACCGTTATTCCTTACCGACATATAACTCCTCGTTCCTACAAACGAATTAGCCATGGAGTCGATTAACTGTCCGGATACACCGAAATCGCAAATTTTTATTTCTCCAGCGCTATTTACCAAAATATTACTTGGCTTCACGTCTCGGTGCATAATCGCATGTTTATCCCGTAAATAGCTTAAACCTTTCAGAACCTTTAAATAAAATTAATATTATTCGAAAAAAGTTAATTTATAGAGTAGAATTTTTAAAAGATCCAAAAATGTCGAAACCTTTTCGAAGAGAAGTCAGGGCGAATCGAGAGCGGGAAGGCCATGAAAATATCAACCATTAAAAAATTGAATATTTAAAGGGAACTGATTTTCTTTAACATTGTATTTATACAGTATTAATTCAAGATTCAACTTATATCCGTTTGAGCATTGTATAAGTATTAAAAATATGATACGAGCAGCGTCTAAAATACTACACCGAGTACAATCGTCGCATACTCAAATAACGAAAAAGAAGCTTACACATGAAGAACTGATAGATCTCCAACAAGAGTTTATCACCCATGACCATGTGATCCCTTTGGAACAATTATGCGAGAAATTGAACACCGACCCGACTACCGGTTTGACTGAAGAACAGGCGAAAGATATTCTCCTTGATGTAGGACCAAACGCTCTAACGCCACCAAAAGTAACTCCGGAATACATAAAATTACTAAAATGTATGGTTCATGGATTCGCTGGTCTACTGTGGGTCTGTTCAATATTGTGCTATATTTTGTATGGAATTAGTATGCTGATGGAAGGTACAGGCGGTGGCATAGAGTGGTTGGGAATTATTATTACGCTAATTTGCCTGATTTCAGGCTTTTCCGCTTACATACAAGAGAGCAAGAATACGAAGGTAAACGAATTACAAATCTATCATAATTCCGTTTCTCACTTTGCCTATCATCGCTATTAGTATGACATTCGTCTAATATCAAAGAGTTATACATATATATTTGAAAATTGAAATCATATACTGAACATATTTGCAAACTTCGTTGTTCATATAATATGTAACTTACTATTCTTTGATTCTATACATTATATATTAGAAACACTGTACAGTAATTTAATTTAAAATGGTTATGATAATCATAACAGTGTAAGATTTTTATCGAGAAAAGAATAAACCAATTGTTTAGGTAAAGAAAATGAATTTCATGTACATACGTACGATTAATAAGTTCAGAAGATTGATATACATACGCCTTATATAGCTAAAGGACTGAAATCGATGAAGATATTTTTAGATGAACCGTTCTAGCGAAAAATAACATCGTATATACATGTTTTCTATCATGATTATTTGCAGGTAATGGAATCTTTCAGAAAAATGGTACCGACATTCGCGACAGTGATACGAAACGGCGTGAAGCTGCGCGTGGCAACCGAAGATTTGGTTCCAGGTGATTTGGTAGAAATTAGAAACGGCGACAAGATACCAGCCGACATCAGAATCATCGAGTGCCGTGAACTCAGGGTCGAGAACTCGAGTATCACCGGCGAGAGCGAACCGGTAACCCGAACTAACTATCCTACCGACGAAAATCCTTTAGAAACCTCCAACATTGCTTTTTTCTCTTCGTTTGCCGTGGATGGAGAAGGTCGGGGAATAGTGATCGCAACGGGCGATGAAACAATGATTGGACGATTAGCAGGTCTCACGTCGCAGCTCGAAAAATCTGAAACGCCGATAGCAAAAGAAATCAAACACTTTGTTCAAATAATCACAATAGTCGCCGTATTATTCGGGGTATTATTCTTTGGGTTGTCGCTGATAATTGATCCCAATATACTAAAAGCGTTCACTTATCTACTTGGCATCGTGATAGCCAACGTGCCGGAAGTTCTACTGGTAACTGTTACCACAAGCTTGACACTAACAGCCCAGAAGATGGCGAGTAAGAATTGCTTAGTGAAAAATTTGGAAGCAGTTGAGACGTTGGGATCAACGTCTACAATTTGTTCAGATAAAACGGGAACTCTGACGCAGAACAAAATGAGCGTATCCAATTTATGGTTCGGGCACACCAGATATAATTTCCCGCCTGGCCAGAGGCTAGGAGTCGAGCTGAATCTATTAATGGAGAAACCAGCCTTTACAACGATGATAAAGTGTGCTACTCTTTGTTTACGAGCTGAGTTTACCACGGTATCCATTTTATTAAAACCGATCGATGAAAGAGAGATAATTGGAGATGCTTCTGAAACGGGTATCCTAAAATTTTGTGATCACATACATCCAACAGAAGAATTTCGAGAAGAGCACCCAAAAGTTGCAGAAATACCGTTCAGTTCTGTAACTAAGTATCAGATGTCGATACACGAAGACGAGGACGGGTACATTATGATCTTGAAGGGTGCTCCAGAGGTGATTCTGGAGAATTGCACTAAGATACTAACCACTGAAGGGGAAACGGAAGAGATGACACCGTTGGATCATACAACAACCCGACGAGCCTGTGCAGAATTAGGCTACATAGGAGAACGTGTGCTGGCCTATTGCGATCTTCACTTACCAAGCTCTACGTACGGTCCAGATTACGAATTCAACACTGAATCTCGCAACTTTCCAACAGAAGGCTATAGATTCGTTGGATTAATAAGTCTCCTAGACCCGCCGAGAGCAGCTGTGCCTGATGCTGTGAAAAAATGTCGCACAGCTGGCATTAAAGTAATCATGGTAACGGGCGACCATCCGGTAACTGCGATGGCAATAGCGAAGAAAGTTGGTATAATAAGCGAAGGACACGAGACCAGATACGAGCAGGCGATAATACAGAACAAATCGTACTCACAGATAACTGAGGCAGAAACACACGCGACAATTATTACTGGTAACGAGTTAAGAAATATGGATGACATGGAGCTGGATAAGCTTATACGTAAATACGAGGAAATCGTTTTCGCAAGAACGTCTCCGCAACAGAAGTTATTCATCGTGGAAAGTTGCCAGAGGTTGGGTGAAATCGTTGCGGTAACTGGCGATGGTGTGAATGATTCACCAGCGTTAAGAAAAGCAGATATTGGAGTGGCCATGGGTATTACTGGTTCTGATGTGGCAAAGAACGCGGCTGACATGATTCTCATGGATGATAATTTTGCATCCATTGTAACTGGGATTGAAGAAGGTAGACTAATATTTGACAATCTTAAGAAATCCATTGTTTATACATTAACTTCTAGTGTGCCTGAGATGTTGCCCATGTTGAGTAGCCTTTTATTTGGCATTCCTTTGCCCTTTATACTTGAGATGATTCTCTGTGTAGACATTGGAACCGATTTGCTTCCAGCAATAGCGCTGGCATATGAGAAAGCAGAATCTGATATCATGCACCGTGCACCAAGAAATCCGCAGTATGATAAGCTTGTAAACAAACGTTTAATATCCGTCGCCTACGGTCAAATCGGAATGACTCAGTCTTTGGCTGCATTTTACACGTACTTTTTGATTCTTATGTTACACGGATTTCTACCTGATCGCCTGATAGGTTTAAGGCTAGATTGGGAAAACAAATCAATCAATGACTTACAAGACTCTTATGGTCAAACATGGACCTATGATAACAGGATGGATTTATTGAACGAAGCTCGCACTGGATACTTCCTAGCTATTGTTATAACTCAACTTATAGATTTAGTGATGTGTAAAACGAGAGTTAACTCGATCTTGCGACAAGGAATGGACAACTGGTTTTTAAATTTTTCTTTTATCTTTGAAATTGTTTTAACTGGTATCTTGTTGTATGTACCAGGAACTGAGAACGTTTTTAAAACTATGCCTTTAAGCTCTTATTGGTATTGGCCAAGTTTACCACTTGGTGCATTTCTTTGGATATATGATGAACTAAGGAGGCTATGTATTCGTAAATATCCTGGTGGAATTATAGAACAGGAAACTTATTACTAAACATTTATCTATATTTTATACCTACCACCACACCTAACATTTTATTCCTCCAGTTGATAATACTGTGTTTTGTAGTTATTAATTGCAAGTTGGTATTTATAGTTATAACATAGTACATTAGTTTCTTAATACTCACTGCAGAAGTAATTGTGCTTAGTATAGGTTCTGGAATTCTACCAGCTTTTTTCAATATTAAATCTAAAGATCCACCATCCATATATTCCATACATATACTAATTTCTCCATCACTGTAATAAATAAAATAGCATTAACATTTACAGTAAACACATTAGTTTAATGGATAATTATCATTTTAGATGTGAAGACATGCCTATAGAATGCACCATAGAATCCAACTATATGTGCAAAGTTACACTCGTGAAGAACTTTCAGTTCTCTAATTATTTGTTTCTTAATAGCAGGTTTAACTTCTAAATGTATTAGCTGAAATATAAAAATTATTATGATTATTTTATTTTAATACATCAATTATCAAGTTAACATGAGTAAATGCAATGAATATGAGCCACACCTTTCTTGCCATTATAAGTCCATATTTTTTGTGCCTAACTTTCATAACAACACCACCATTGCCAGCACCAAGTTCACCAAGTTTTTCAAAGTCCTCATCACATAATTCTCCAACTTTTTCTTTTTGACCTAAGAAGCTTTCTAGCCTTTTTCTTTGTTCTTCATCCATTTCTAATTCTTCTAACCTTTCTTGAATAGCATCTATACTCATTTTTCCCATAACTCCGCTATAAATGTAACAAATCAAAATTAACAAGTGAATACAAATATTGTTTTCATTTAAACGTTGAAGAAAATTTAATTACTCTGGAATTACTGGTGGTTCAGAATAAATAGGTAACGGTGGTACTGGTGGTGATGGTGATACAGCTGGAACTGGTTCTATTGAGCCAGGAGGTAGTGTTAAATTTAATTTGTTTTTTGACATTTGGATTGAAAAGTTAAACAATCGCCTTTAATGCACAATTTTTACACACAAATATTTCACTTATCAATAACGTTTTTGGAAATAAAATACACTTATTTAATCAATTGAAGATTTATTTAGTTAAAAATGTTTTATTCTTTCTAATTATATGCGTTTAAGTCACTGTAGATATACGATTATTGAAATCGTTCTCATTGTGAATTTCGTTCGAAAATTGAGAAGGAGTAGCCTGAACTCAGAATGTTGTTAAAGCCAAACTGTCAAGCTTCGAACTGTCAAATTCCTCGTCGGAATGCACCTTTTTATAAATTACGTAAAAACGAATACGTCGTCTCAAAGAATCGTTAATTTAGCAACAACGACCACACAAATGGCACAAATATGCATATTTTTTGGAAATATTGTGCAAATAAGAAGAGGTTATATGAATCTTCCCGGGACAACGACAAACTCACGTACACTATTCGTTTTAAATGTTCCTAGGAATAGATTTTCTCAAGAATTGCATAACTCTACGTATTATTATAATACATTAACTATGAGTCAACTTCTCAATATTATCAAATTGATATTATTTTATTATATTAGACAAGCAATTAACTATTAACTATAAAGTAGACATTACTTAAAACATGATTAATGTCTAAAGTCAAGAATTAAACTATTGAAACATCGATTCTATTTAAAACCACTTACAATCTTCAAAAATAGCTAAAAATTTTTAAAAAATTGTATATTAGAATTATAATCTAATTTACACAAATCCTGATTTTAATATTTTACTAAAACAAAATAAACGGTGTTATTCGTGTTTTTTTTTGTCGAAAACGATTTAAGTTGGCATCTTGAATTTTACAGGAAGTCTCTTTCTAGTGTACGCATGACGTCTTTTCCTTTAAAATCGTGCTGTTAAGAGGTACGTATGGCCTGAGTCGTAGCAATTTTCTCATCTGCTTACATCTTCGATTTTATATCGATAATCCCCTTGAAACTATGTGGTATCTATATACGTGACACCAAGTTATCGTTTTGTTGGAAAAGTGAGAAATAAATATTTATCTAATGACGATTGTCAAATTCTAAAATGTGCGTGGTGGCAGATAGAGCTACGATATTGCAAGATGCCGATGTGAAAAATTGTCACTCAATTTCTGTGATTCCAGATCGCAATGGGACGTTACTCGCACGAACCGGTAAACGCGACCAAATCGTGCAAAGCACGAGGCTCTAATCTACGAGTGCATTTCAAGGTAAATAAAGGAATGACTACATTGGATGATCTAACCTCAAAGTTATCGATGGTTGTGTTTACAAAACACGTTGTGATAGTTCGCTTAATTCTGTAAAATATGTGATTGTTTGGTTTTGTTGTGTATTCCAGAACACTCATGAAACAGCACGTGCTATCAAGAATATGCCCTTACGGAGGGCACAGAGATATTTGAAGAATGTCATCGAACACAAGGAGTGTGTACCATTCCGTAGATTTAACGGTGGTGTTGGGAGGTGTGCTCAAGCAAAACAGTTCGGTACCACACAAGGTAAGTTGAAATAAGAATTTAATAACTTATTATCTATGTGTTTATTTAATGTTACTGGAATTTGACAACTATATTTGTGGTTATTTCTCATGCTTTAATTCAGGTCGTTGGCCGAAGAAATCAGCAGAATTTTTGCTTCAGCTCTTAAAAAATGCTGAAAGTAATGCTGATGTTAGAGGGCTAGATCTTGACCGCCTTGTAATTAATCATATTCAAGTAAATGATGCTCCTTGTTTACGCAGAAGGACCTACAGAGCTCATGGTCGCATTAACCGTTAGTATCTGTTTATTGTCACTTAAAGTATAAGAATTTGACAATTTTATTGGTAATCCAATTAAATGTTTTTCATGTTCATAGCTTACATGAGTTCACCATGCCATATTGAGGTAATTTTGACTGAGAAAGAAGATTTTGTAATAAAGAGCCCAGAAGAAGAGCCCTCAAAAAAGAAACTCAGTAAGAAGCTTGCTAAGGAAAAGGAGAGATCAAAAGAATTATTTTAAATTCTAGCTAGATATGGAATGTACTGTGAAAATGAAGACTACACTGTTCTTTAATTTTTCTACTTCATTTCTATCCTTTCCCATTATCATGTATACTGTTTTTAACAAAAGTATAAGGAAATCATGCTTAAGATAATTTTATGTTGAGATTCAAATTCATAATATTGAACATTTAAAATTTGGAACTATAACATGTTTATATAACAATTTTTAAGAAAGTTTCATATATTTAAATTGAGCAATGATCAAATCGAAATTAAAAATTCAGGAGGATGATAGATACGTTTTAAACCAGAAAACTTAATTTACGTTTCCTTAGAGAAAATTTTACTTTTTCTTTCATTGTTATATTTTTGTTTTACATTTCAAATATCTTGCAACTGTTACATCTTATCTTACAAGTATATAAGGGAAGGGTACACAACATTCAACAGTGATGGCTCTGTCTGGAGTATGAACGAACGACAGAAGATATAAAAGTACATAGCAAAAATGTTACAAATATTTAGGAGTGAACTGTCTATAAATGCCGTATCTACATTTTACGTTTAGCTTCAGTACATAAAATTCACACGCGGTTTAAGGATTGGGACATTCTATCGAATATCTAATACTCGAAAATACATAGAAGTTACGCGATACCTTTGTGTTTTCTTATAAAGATAATGCCATACGAATTCACATTCGTATCTCATTTATTCTCGAAAATATCCTCTACTATCTACTACGAATTCTAATTGTTAATACTACATTGTTTATTGCCTTTCGAACTTGATATGTAAAATAGGAATGTGGAGCTCGACCGTAGTGACACACGTTGTTTATAATGAACCGTTTTATGAATTAAATGTGAAAAAATGTATGAGCGTACAATGTGCTGTTTTGAGACGTTGTAAGTTTATCAGATTAATTGATGCTATTATGACTGTACATCGATTCGTTAGGTCTGATGTAATTCTCCACTGGTGTCAAGAAAGTGGTTCCCGTGTTGTATTTGGTAAAAATAAGCACAATAATCCTCCACCTGCAAAATCGAAATAATTTATGAAATTTTAATAAAATTAAATCCAATGTAAAAAAAACAAAAAACTTTTTTAAATAAACTGTAGTTTCGAAACATATTGTATTTATTGAAAACTCTACCAATTAGAAGAGCAGCAACGATGAAAGTTGGCGCTGGACAATACATGTCCAGAAGTTGAGCTATTACAATGTTTCCAATGATACCACCGAGACGCGCTGCGACCATGGAAATAGCGATTCCTGTCGCGCGAAGATGCGTGGGGAAAACCTCGGTTATCAAACAGTCTAAGGCTGCGTTACCGCAGCTTATCACACCGCTAAAGATTGCCGAAACGATCAAATTGTGGTGCTTGTTGTACACGAAGTACAATCCGATTGAACACAGCCCCGACGAAAGTGTACTAAACACTGCAAATAAATGAAAGATGTCCTAATTGGATTACAATGAAAAATTGAATTTTCTATGTACTTTTATTGGCAAAGTTTCATACAGTCCGATAAACGTTGAAATATTTTATTTATCAGCATATTTATCGTACAGAAAAATGATCGTAAATGGCGTTGTTGTCGAATTTAAAATTTATATGAATTTATAGTTTATAATTGAAAAAAATCATACGTCGTGTAATTTTTCAAACGTTAAAGCGTAGAATATTGAAAGAGTTTGTAAATTTCCACTTGGCAAATTCCAATCGATTTTTAACGAAAAAAAAAAACAAATATCGAACATTCTCTCGTGTTTATTTAACGATGAAACATGTCCATTTAAACAAATATTATAATAAACGTGAAATCGTACAAAGTATTGTCGACTTACCCAGAAAGAATTTACGACCAAGACGATCCATTCCTAGTACAGCGACAATATTCGCGGGAATGGCGGACGCTACGGTGATCAGCGATTCCATAAAAACGGAAGAGCCGATTTTGTCCGAACATAGGTTCTCGACATTGTGAGAGCCCTTTTTAACAACGTATTCGGTCACTTCGCATATCGAAGCTACTTCACCGGGATGATCGCGATGAAATTCATCGAAACGATTGAACAACTCGGGGAACCACATCATCAGACCGTAATAACCGATGTGGAAGGTGAAATTGATGATGATCGAGATGATGGTGAAACGAAGTATTGGTGTGATGAAAAGTTGTTTACTATTGTCTACAATATCGCTAAGCATTGTTTTGCATTTATTCTTTTCGATGCCATCCTTTGTTGGTTCCGGTCCTTGGATGTCGTCCAGAATTAATTCTTTCACCTGTATCAGAATCGTTGGAAATTCACTTTTCTTTTTTTCTTTTTTTTTATCATTAGCAAAGAAACTTTTCTAAGGCCTAATTTTTTACATTGGTCTCATGAATTTACAATATTGTTAAACTGTTGAGCAGAAAACGGACGATCGTATGAAAAATAGGGAATCTCCAGTCTTAATAATTTCAGCGTTGATTAATAATTAATACAAATATTGTAAATAATGCTAAATATTTGAATAATAATAAATAATAAAGTGCAAATATTTACCGTGTAAGTGTCACGCGGTTTGCCAGTGTTAATGGCATAAATACCACGGAAGATATCAAGCGCCTCTTCGTATCTTCCGCAGGACAAGAGGTATTTAGGGGATTCAGCGCCAAGAATTATACGTGAACGATGAACTTGCGACACCAATGTCGTTAGGGATGATCGACCATGCTAAACCTAAAAGGAAAAATAACAACGCATGCATATTAAAGATATCCATACGTACGAATAAGAAGTTCGAAGTATTAAAAAGGTTCAAATGAAAGAAGGAAATTGTTTAATTCGAGGATATTTCTACTCTAGATAGGACTAATTTAATCCGAGGATATTTTCGGATAGTTTTAAAAGCGGTAGAAATATGAATAAAAGGAAAATGCACGTTACTATTGTAATACTGTACGTTAAAAAAAAAAGGGGGAAAGTGCAAATTTACCAGCAACAAAAAGGTTCCCAAGGGTCCAGAAGGCAGCCATGAACGACAGCATCGAGCCTCGCTTCGACTTTGGCTGGAACTCAGCGAAGTAAGACCAGATGACAGGTCCGCTACCTCCGAGGCTGAAAATGTACGATAAAATAGTAAAAAAAATGTGTAATAAAATAAATCCTAACCTTTTTATTAATAAAAATTGTTCAAAAAAAAGAAAAAATTGTAATACATTCATTAAATGATATTAGAATTGAAATTATCAAAAGCGTATAAACTTTTTGCAAAAAATATACAGTTTTTATTTTGCTATTATTAACCCTTTGAGAACGATAGACTCTATATGCGTTAACGGAACACTATGAACGCAACCAGTAAACTCATATATTTTTAAGTAATAAAAATAGTTGGCGTGACAATGAACTCGTGTACGTATACATACGAGGGAAATATAATTTTGATATAGTTCGTTACAATTAGTTTGTTATAGTTAGTGACCTAATTACGTGTTACACAAGTAAACAATATTTCGACATGGCACGTAGTCCTCATGGTTCAATTGTAACCGTAAAACGAACGCACTTTTCAATAATTAGCTACCAGTTTTTCTTTTTTTACGAAACACTTAATGACGCATAGCATTCTAATTAAAACATCTAAATTGATGTATTCATCGAATAAATTTAAATATTCATCGGTGAATGTGAATACTCGCATTCTTAACTACGAATGTAACGCATTGAAATGAAACACAGCGTAGAAAGTGAACGGTGGTAATTGAATTGCGTGAAAAAATCCTTCTGATCTATTTACTCACGCGGCGCCATTGAGAAAACGGAAGAACATGAAAAGTTCATAGGACTGGCTGAAGCTGGAGGCGACGATACAAAGGGCGTTCGTGAAGGAGATGGCGATGAGAACCTTCCGACGACCCAGGGCATCCGCGACAGAGCCCCAGGCGTACGCGCCTGCCATCATGCCAATGAAGATGATCGAATTGAGCCATCCCTTGGCTTGGGTGTCGAGTTTCAGGTCACATTGTGCACTAGGTAGGATGAAGGACATAGAGATTACGTCCATCTCCTCGCTAGTGCTGACGAAGCCACATACCGTGAGGAGGAAGTAATGGAATTTGCCATAGTCTGCAGAAATAAGAAGGATTGAAAAGAAAAACATAAGAAGGCCATCCTGAAAGTTCCCGCTGTTTTCGTTCATTTTGAAAAAGCGTAAACTCCGTTGAAACGAAACATTTTATAATGTTGTAAATAATTTCCATAATGTTTTAATTCCGCGCAAGTAGAAAAATACTCGCGTAAAGATAAATGAACGGACAGACTTCTTACCGGTAAGTTCAATGGCCTTCTCGAAATCTGCTTTAACGAAGGATCCTTTCTCTGGATCTAGGGTCTTGCCCTTTGTTCCAATACCTGTTACACAGAAAATTAGGATGATCGTTTAGGTGATCTGTGAAAAGCTTGATACTTATGGTTTTGCTGTGAATTTTTACGTACGGGCAAGTTCAAGATCCTTAGAGCCACAGCCGTTTAGCCGCTCGTCTTTTACATCACACTCTGAAAGAAACAGATATAATCATTTTCTTTTCGTTTTTGCTCGAATTTAAATCGACGTTGAATTTCTGTTTCACATAAAATTTCACATTTCTCACGATTCGAGACGACTACGGCGTAAAAGAAAATATTCAAATACACTCCTATGTGCCATCTGTTTTTGAAATACCCCATACTTCTCTTAGTTACATTTAGTGTGCTGTTCAAATTTTTTGTTTTATAAATCACCTAACAACACGCTTCGTTCGTTATTTATAATTGCGCACCACTTGTACAATGTACTCCTTCAGAAAATGAATTCGAATATACGTACTATGATTGTGCTTTGAGTTAGGTTCACTCTCTACCATTCTACGATGTCGGCGCAGTTGGGTGAATCTGGCTTGGTGATAGAGTTAGATGAGAAATCTTCGTGCTCGACGATGGGCTTCGATCGATATTAAATTGATCTTATTCTTGCAGATTGCTGGA